AATTGGAGAAAATATTTTCAAACTATTTATCTGATAGGGGAACAACATCTAGAATTTACAAGGAACTCAACAATAACAAAAAATAATCCCATTAAAAAGTAGGCAAAGGACATGAATAGATATTTTCAAAGAAGACATACAAATGACTAACAAACATAAGAAAGAGTCTCAATATCACTAATCACCATGAATTAAAGCCACATTTTATAGCAGTCAGAAAGACTATTGTTAAAAAGACCAAAAAATAACAGATACTGGCGAGGATGCAGAGAAAAGGGAATGCTTCTACACTATTGCTAGGAATGTAAACTAGAACAACCTTTGTGGTAAAACAGTATGGAGATAGCTCAAAGAACTAAAACTAGAGCCACAGTTTGATCCAGCAACCCCTCTACTGGGAGTCTAACCAAACAAAATAAACCATTGTAGATAGCATGTACTTGTATGTTTATGATAATATTCACAATAGCTAGGATATGGAATTAACCTAAGTGTTCATGAATGCGTGTTTGTATAAGGAAATGTAGTATAGATGCACAACAGAACACAATTCCAACACTACAAAGAAAGAAATTATGACTTTTGCAGGAACATGCATGGAACTGGGGGCCATTATCTTAAGTGGAGGAACTGTTTCAAAGAAAGAGAAGTACCACTTGTTTTCACTTATCATTGGGAGCTAAATAATTTGTGCATGTAAATACAAAGAGTTTGGAAGGATGAGCAATGGGCGCTCTCAAAAAGACTAGGAGGTGAGCGAGGGATAGATCATGAGTAATTACTTAATACATACAATGTGCTTTATTTGGGTGATAGATGCCCTAACAGCTCTGACTTAATCACTGTGCTATTTACCCTTCCTGGCTCGGAGCCTGTGGCTCAAGTGGCTAAGGCACCAGCCACATACACCCAAGGTCGCAGGTTCAAATCCAGCCCAGGCCCGCCAAACAACAATGATGGCTGCACCCAAAAAGTAGCCAGGCATTGTGGCGGGTGCCTGTGGTCCCAGCTACTTGGGAGGCAGAGGCAGGAGACTCGCTTGAGACCAGGAGTTGGAGGTTGTTGTGAACTGTGATGCCACGGCACTATACCCAGGGGGACAGCTTGAGGCTCTGTCTCAAAAAATAAAATAAAATAAAACAAAATCACCCTTCTGCCTCACAAATTTATACAAATAGAAAACATTTTTCATGTACTGTTAAATGGATAATGGTAAGAAACTTTCAGGGTGTAAGGATTTCATAGTTAAAATAGCGATATGAGGGTTTTATCGCTATAAATCACATAGTGATTTTTATCACATAAATGTGGATATTCACAATATACTGGAAACTACATTCTTTTATACTGTTTAAAGTTTTATTAAAAATTTTTTGTGACAACTTAAGGTTTTTGAAGGAGCTTCCAGTGTTTTAAATACTTTGAGAAAATATCCACATAAAACTTTTAAAGAACACTATTTTAAGTTAATCTGGGAAAGAATGATGTTTTATAAGGAAAGAGAGTCCAGGACTGTGAAGACAAGAAGAATAAATTAATTAGTCCTGGGGAGGGGTTCTTTGTGCATGATGAATGGCTAATGTCTCCAGACATGAATGAATTTGGCTAGAGCACTGATGACATTCCCTAACAGAACTGGCTTCATGGGATATAACCTGGGCAGTTGCAGTGGGCCATGCTCAGAGTGGTCCTATTAGGGCTTACGTAATACTCTGCTGTCATTGTCATGAAATTCCTAATATTTTTATCTTTGTGCATTTTTTAAAGTAAATTCAAAGGTGTGGTGATGCATGTGTGTGTTCAGCATCACTATTTGCTACACCATTCACAAAATTCTTTCATGACACAGTGTGAGAACAGAATTCTACTGAATTCACAGTCAATGGGAATTCAAGATGACTCAGAGAAGTAAAGAAAGGAGGAAAGAAACAGGAGATAAGGAAGGAAAGAAGAGAGAAAATAAGAGATTGGATAATGGAACGGACATTCAAACGTAGACTAGATGGTTAATTTTCATTTTCTTTTAAAAAGTCACTGGAAATTTTCCCTTGCTCATTGCTACCTGATTTGTCATGGCTCCTTCTTCCCTTTTTCCCTCAACAGATACACTGCAGATCAATTCCCAGGAGAGGCCATGTGGGTTTTCATACGATAACATCACCAAAAGTCAATAAATAACCTTCACTTCCCAAGCCCGGGGACCAGAGGAAGCTGGAATACAGAGCAGAGCAGAAGACATTACTGAGCCCAGAACACCGAGGAAAATCACAGACTTCAACACAAATTCCACATTTATACCTTCTACTATTTATTCTGCAACTACGGACCTGCCAGGAAACACAGCTTTCACATCCCTAAACAAAGTTGTGCATTCACACACATACCTCCTCTCCAACCCTTTGCACCTGACACTCTCCCACACACCCATAGAATCTTGCACACTCATAGACTCCACCTGCACACAGTGCTCCAGCTTCAGCATGCTTCAACTGCAAATGTACATTTCTCACACAGGTAAGTTCTTAAAATCAGATTCCCCCAAAACTATGCTCAGTGCATGAATTTAGAAGGTATTGATGTCTAAGTCTGAGAAGGGGACGTCAAAAACTCAGCCATGTTAGTGAACCAGAGACAAACCCTGAAGCATGTTGGGAGGGTGACACATTGTGAACTAGAGTGAGACTTCAGTTCAACATCCTCTCCTCTTCTTTTTCCAAAGAGAAAAATAAATGAAACCTGTTCTCCCCCGACCTTTATGGTGCTTACATCCGTAGATACTCACAGAATCACACTTTATCTTACCACAAGCACCTAAAATCTTTGTTAAGAGGCAAGAATAGGCTAGAAAGAGAGGAGAAAAAAGATGGCAGTGACCCCAGCTCCCCAGACTCCACCATCCGAGTTGTTTTCCGCCAATGTCACAGGCCAGTGTTCAGGCTAAGACCCAAACATCTATCTAATGACATTGCTGACAGTCTCAATGCAGACAGAAGGGAGAGTCACCAGTTTTCACTATCTTTTTGGCGCTCAGATAATGACTGAAGTAATAAGAGCATTAAGAATTGATATTAGATAAAAGACCTTGTTTATAAGAAAGAGAAATTTAAGTATTAGACATATTAATAGACAGATGGGAGAGGTGAAAATCGAAAACTCTGAATCAGGAGACATGCAATCAAATTTCAATTCTACAGGTGACTTGTTTATTAAACTAAATTACATCAGCTCATGTTTCTGGACTAGGTCTTCTTATTGGTTGGGGATGTGAATGATAACTTTACTCTGTTTTATTCAGAGTATGTATTGTTAGGAGATAGATATCTTGTATTTTTAAAAAGGAGGTGAAAATAACTTTGGGTATCCAAATTTCTAATCTCATACATAATAATCCTTGCTCAATTACCAAATCTTGTGAAGTCAGGGCAGATGGTGTCATTCTCAATTCAGAGACAAAAACTGAAGCACAAAAAGGTTTGGGGACTTTGTCCAATGTCAAATCGTGATCAGTTCAGAAAGCAGAGAATGACTGCAGTCATTGTTCTACATTGAGACTGTTCCGAGAGGTGAGAGATTTATTTAAGGTCATACATGAATCTTGTTAGAGAATCAGAACTAAAATTCAGGTTTTCTGGTATTTCACTCAGGATGCTTTTAGTAACGTATGTTACTGAAGGAATGTGTATAATGGTAGCTATCCTTATTCAACCACAACAAAAAGACACCCTTTCCAGACTGTCTTTATGGGGGGCATCTCCGGTATGCTCCACTCTCCTTTTATCTGCCTCTGTCAGCACTTAGTTTTCATATCTGATTTCACATCCATTGTACTGGTGGAGTTGTAGGACTGTGAGTTGGCTTTATCACAGTTCAAACTGTTGTCTCATCAAAGCGTATTAGATTTATTTCACAGCTTCTTGTATTATACCCATATAAATGCCCAACTCACTGTAGATATTCAGCCATAAGGGATGTAAGCATTTTCAGGTTGTCTACCCTCCTTTTAGGCATTTCAGGTGGCATATGTAGGGAAGCTGTTTGGTGTATATTCAGAAAGATATCTTACCAAAATATATCTATACCAAAGATATGTTACCAAAAAGAATAAGTGAATATATCATTACATTGTTAGGTCAAAAGTCAATGCCATATTAGGAATTCTCAGAATGGAGTCTTTAAGGAACATGTTTTCAAATGTCTAGGTATAGACACAGTTATGGGCAGAGTGGAGGTTACAATTGCCCGAAGACACAGGCAAGATCAATAAGATTTTGTAAGATAGTGAAAGAATGGGAAAAAAGAAAAGCTCTCTAAGAAAGAGTTCAGAGAGAGTAGGCTTCTGAAAAGCAGAAAAACTTTCCCTGAAACCCAAAAATAAGAGAAAGAGAAAAAAAATAAAGACATGAGATTTTGTAGGCACAAGGAAAGTAATGAATGAAAAAAAGACAAGCAATTTCCCCATATGGGTGAACATAAGGGTATGAGGTCAGTAACTGATGTGTAGGTGGTGGGGAGAATGAAATCTGGAAAGGTCAGTTTGAGCAGATGAATAAAGACCTAGCGTGGTGCTTTGAATGAAGAACACAAACCAACATTATCGAATATATGATTTAACAGAATTTTTTTCCTTTTTTAAAATTTTATTTCAGATTAATATGAGAGTACAAATGTTTAAGTTACATTGTTTTCGTTTCCAAGTAAAATTCAAGTTGTAGTTGAGCCCCTCACCCAGGGGCAGGCTGAACACTCACACTGTGCACATAGGTGAAATCCTGCCAATTGCCCTCTCTCCTCCCCTCTCCCTTGCCCCTCCTCTCCCCTCCTCCTGGCTAGATATACTTGTAAATGAGATAAAATGTGGTATAGTCTTTCCAAATTGAACAAGCGAATGTTTTTCTTAGTCTTAAAAATTATTATTTCACAGAAAGCTCATCATTTTACGTGAATCAACCAAATTTCTGACGGGCAGGGGGCATGCCATCACCAATTAGATAGAACCCATTATTTGGCTACAAGAATGTCGGTTTCCAACACCAGTGATCACAGTCTCCCCACCACTGTCTTCCTGACTGGGATCCCAGGGATGGAGTCTGCCCACTTCTGGATAGCCATCCCTTTCTGTGCCACGTATCTTGTGGCAGTGGCTGGTAATTCTGCCCTCATCCTGATCATTTCCAGGGACAATGCCCTTCACGCTCCCATGTACCTCTTCCTTTGTCTTCTGTCACTCACCGACCTGGCTCTCAGTTCTACCACTGTGCCCAAGATGCTGGCCATTTTGTGGTTCCACGCTGGTGAGATTTCCTTTGGTGGATGCCTCACCCAGATGTTTTGTGTCCATTCTATCTATGCTCTGGAATCCTCAATTCTTCTCGCCATGGCCTTCGATCGATATGTGGCTATCTGCAACCCCCTGAGATACTCAATTATCCTCAACCATACTGTCATAGGCAGAATTTGCCTTGTCAGCACATTCCGCAGCGTGGCTATTGTCTCTCCCTTCATCTTCTTGCTGAGGAGACTGCCCTACTGTGGTCACCATGTCATGGCACACACATACTGTGAACACATGGGCATTGCTCGACTGGCCTGTGCTGACATCACCGTCAACATTGTCTATGGGCTGACGGTGGCTCTGCTGGCCATGGGCCTGGACTCTATCCTCATCGCCATCTCCTATGGCTTTATCCTCCACGCGGTCTTTTGTCTCCCAACTCGTGATGCCCAGCACAAGGCTCTGAGCACCTGTAGCTCCCACCTCAGTGTCATCCTGGTGTTTTACATCCCTGCCTTCTTCTCATTCCTCACACATCGCTTTGGTCACCACCGAGTCCCCAAGCACGTGCACATCTTTCTGGCAAATCTGTATGTGCTGGTGCCTCCCGTCCTCAATCCTATTATCTATGGAGCCAGAACCAAGGAGATTCGGAGTCGACTTCTGAGACTGCTTCACCTGGGGAAGATCTCAGTATGAATTCCAAGTAGAAGTTGGAGATAAGAAAAATAAATGGGATGGATAGTTGTACACATAAATTTTAATGGATGGGTTCCCATGACACAATAGAAATGGTTCAGTATGGGAGGTAGCCTTCACAGGAGGAGGAATGATTGTATGATTTGGATTTGTTGAACACACTGAACATACCTATTGAACAGTGATGAATTACCCATAAAAGAAATTGCGGGGGGGGTGGTTTCCTGTATTCTCAGATGGGGCTATAATTTGCAGCAGGAAGGCAATTCTGATGTGGAAAGGACATTGCACCTAGTGTGGGAATGCTCTACAGGAACAAAAGTGAAAAACAAATAAATCAAAAAAAAAACCATTTACAGTGACATGAAATCTGAACTAAGTATGCAAAGCCTATATCAGAGTGCTTGGGTCTGAATGTTAGTTTCTTCCTTTAGTTAGTTTTCTGTTTACCTTGTTGCTAAATTTCCTGTGCCTAATATGGTCAGTCATAGAATGTGGTCATGATAATACCTAACTTTGAGGTCATGATGAGGAATAAACAAATTATTGAGCATATGTAGAAAATGTAGAAGAGTCCTGCAATGTAAAATTCTCAATAAATAAATACAAAATGAAAAGTTCACATAACCTCTAAAAACATTATTTGTTCATTTTTCCAATTTATCTAAGACTTTTTACATAACCTCACATTACACAATTTTCGTAACTATATTATGTAACTATTCTATAAAAGCTAGACAATGCTTGGAATGTGATGAACAGTTAATAAAATTATTTTTCCCATTACTCCTCTTTTCCTCCACTTTGGACCTTTGTTTTCTTTTAGCTAGACATCGTCCCATATTAAATATTTAGGAAAGCCTATTGAGAATCTGAGCTTCTTTCTACTTTGTCCTGAATTGAATTCAGTTGTTAAATATACCTTTTTTTAACTTTGTCCTACTTAGAATTTCTGGACCCTGTTCATGTGAATATCAATTAATATTTTCCATCAGATTTGGAAAGTGTTCAGCATTTTTTCCTCAAATATTCTTTTTTCTTCCTTCTTTCTCTATTTTCCCCTAGAACTTCCATACACTTACAATGGTGGGCTTGATGCTGTCTCACAGGTCTTGGAGGTTCTGTTAATTCCTTTTTGTCTGTTTTTCTTTCATTATTCAGCCTGTATAATCCACATTGACCAATCTTCAAATTTGTGGTTCTTCTGCCTCATCAAATTGGCTGTTGAGCTCTGTAGTGAATTTTTTATTTGAATTATTATATTCAGAATTTCTGTATGTATGCGTATGTGTGTGGTGTTTGTGTATGTGAGAGTTGCATATATATATGTATTCTATTTTTTTACTGATGCTACCTCTATGGTGAGAAAATTCTCTTATATTTGCCTTTATTTCTTTAGGCACAGTTTTCTTTAGTGCTTTGAATGTATTTAAAATAGTTGGTTTAAAGTAATGAGTTCATAAGCCCAATATTTGTGTTTGTTTAGGAAAATTTCTACTGGTATTTTTTTCCTGTGTACAGGCCATACTCTTTGTTTTTCTGAAGGTCTTATTATTTCCTGGTGAAAACTGTACATTTCAAATTGATATGGCAACTCTGAAAATTAAATCCTGAGTTTATTTTGTTACTATCTGTTTTTATCATTGGTTGGGGGGTTTTGTTTTTGTATTTATTAATTCTCTGAATTAACTCTGTAGCATCAACTTTGGTTTCTCTAGTCACTGCAGTCTATGTTCTGTTAGCTTAGTGGGCAGTTAATAAACTAAAGATATAATTACTTAAATGCCTGGAAAAGTATGTCTTTCTTTCTGAGGGCTCTCTGTGCATATGAGGCACAGCTCCAGCACTTGGCCATTTGGATTGCAGCTCTTCTCTCGCCTTCATGTCCAGCTTGTGCAGAGCCTCAAGGTGAGTGACAGGTGAGCACTTAGAGCCCATTCAGAACTTTTCTGGTGCTTTATGGAACCGTGAACATGTGCAGAATCCTAGATGTGTGCATGGTGTTGACATCTGGCAATACCTCAGGGGTGTGTCAACAATGTCCAAAGCTCATAGAAAATATTTTATTCCCAGGCTTTGCTCTTTTAGCTTTTTGATTGTTTTCCATAACTGTTATATACTACTTCAGGCAGCTAAAAAGTTAATTACGTGTAATTATTTTTTATAATCACTCATAGGATAAAGCTAATCACAGGGGGCAAGCTTTGGATTACATAACATTTAAACAGTCTTACCAAAGATTGCTGGCACCCCCTGGCATCTTCAGGGGCACTAGCAGATAGCTTAAATAATAACAATTCTCTGAAAAGGAGACTTTCAAAGAGTTCCATCCCCAGTTTGCTACCTCTGGATGCCATTAGGCTCCTGGTTTTCACTACAAAAGAAGTTCGTTCCTTTTTAAAATTTTGTTTTAAATTTCAGAATAATATAGAGTACAGATATTTTGGCTACATAAATTGCTTTTGTACAGTTTGAGTCAAAGTTACAAGTGTGTCCATCACCCAGGCAGTGTGCATTGTACTCATTAGGTGTGAATTTACCCATCTCCTCCCACACCTATTTAAATTGGATGAGTGTTATTTCCATATGTTCACATGAGTGTTAATCAATTAGTTTCAATTTAATAGCGAATGCATGTGCTGTTTGTTTTTCCATTCTTGGGATACTTCACTTAGAAGAATACTCTCCAGTTCCAGAGGCCTCTCCAGAAGGTATTAGTTAACCATTTATTATGGCTGAGTAGTACTCCATGGTGTATATGTGCATTTTGTTAGTCCATTCATGTATTGATGGGTACTTGGATAGTTTCCACAGCTTTGCAATTGTGAATTGTACTACTATAAGCATTCAAGTTCAGGTGTCTCTTTTATAAAAGTAAATAAGCAGTAGTAGGGTTGTTGGATAGAATGGTAAGTCTGCTTTTCCTTCTTTGAGGGATCTCCATACTACCGTCCACAGAGGCTGTACTGGTATGTAGTCCCACCAACAGTGTATAGAGACTCCTGTCTCTCCACATCAATGCCAGAATTTGTTGTGAAGTTTGTTATTTTTTAATGCAACTGTGGAACTAGAGATTAGAGGATAGGATTAGGGCAAATTACAATGACAGAAACCCATTGTTATTTACCAAATTTCAGCCATTGTTTTTATTAACGTCTCCGTGAACTGATGCAAGTTCCATTTAATATGTAGACTTTTGAAGAAGTTGATTCTGCCAATACTTTGCCAGTTTTCTTGTTGTTTTAATGAAAGAGAACACTTTTAGGGGCCTTTACTCTGTCATTTTCACAGACCTCACCTCTGTAGTCTATACTAATGTTTCAGGGACAGGCATGAGTGTCAAGAAATCCTGCATTAAAAATCGAAGAGAGCGTACTTATTTGGGAAATTATTTTGGTATGAGATTCAGTATGAATAGTATGAATACCAATTTAGTCATTTATGAACTTAAGCCATAATCTGAACTTTAGTTTCCTCATATCTTTCAAGTAAAAATACTAACTTCCACATTTAATTAGTTTAATTTTCTTTTATTAAAACATAACTGTATACATTTATGGGGTACAATGTGATGATTTGTTATACAATATGGAATGCTTAAATCAAACTGATTGACATAACCATCACCTCACTTACTTATTTTTTGTGGTAAGACATTTATAATTTACTCTCGGTTATTTTAAAGTGCAGTCTTGCATTGTGCACATTAGGTGAGATTCCACAAAATGCCCTCCCTCCTCCCTCCAAACGATCTCCCCCCTTCCCTTCCCTCTCCTTCCTCTCTCCTCCCTCTTACTAGACTATATTTGTGTTTTATCATTCATATGAATGTGTAAGTGTTTAGTTACTGGTTTCGTAATGGCACTGAGTACATTGGGTATTTTTTTTTTCTATTTTTGAGATACCTTACTAAGAAGACTATTTTCCAGCTCCATCCACATAAACATCAAAGATTTAATGTCTCCATCTTTTTAATGGCAGAATAGTATTCCATCATATACATATACCGCAATTTGTTAATCCATTCATGGATTAATGGGCATATTTTCCACATTTTTATTGAGTGCTTTATAGTAAAAATGGAGCTTTGGGATTGACACATGGCAGCAAAGAAATGAATGTTATTTCTCTTGCTTCACTATTACCTACTCACTTCTTGGTACAAAACTTAATGTATAGGCAAAGTAGAAATCAGATACCCTGTCTTCAGTCACTTGTGTGGGTGTTCAGGTACATAAACTAGAGCTGAGAAGGGGACTTCTCACTTCACCAAGAATGCAGAGGCAAATATCCATATGACCCTCATATTTTGTATCATAAAGGTAATGTTATTCTCAGACATAGCCTGAAATCTTTTTTTTTTTGAGACAGAGCCTCAAGCTGTCCCCCTGGGTAGTGTGCTGTGGCATTACAGCTCACAGCAACCTCCAACTCCTGGGCTCAAGCGAGTCTCCTGCCTCAGCCTCCCAAGTAGCTGGGACCACAGGCACCCGCCACAACGCCCGGCCATTTTTTGGTTGCAGCCGTCATTGTTGTTTGGCGGGTCCGAGCTGGATTCAAACCCGCCACCTTTGGTGTACGTAGCTGGCGCCTTAGCCAGTTGAGCTATAGGCGCCGAGCCCTAAAATCTTCTATTAATCTTTAACTATTTCCTCTCATCCCTGAACAATTAATTGTTGTGTCTCATGACATTTCTGCAAATTAATTTGTCACTTCAATAATACTATGTATTCCTCTGGCTGAAGCAGTGCCCTCACTGCTCCTTGTACCAACTCTGCCAGAATCCATCCATCTTTTCCTGTGTTGACAGTGTGTTCACTCTAAAACCCAAACCTTGTTTATGTTCTTCAAAACACACATAGTTATCACTCTGTTACCCAAGCCAGAGTGCAGTTGCACTATCATGGCTCACTGCAGTCTCAGATGAACTCCTGGGCTCAGTAGGTTCTCCGCTCAAGGCTCCCAAGTAGCTGGGACTATAGGCACAGACCACCATGCCTGGCTCAGTTCTGTATCTTTAGTTCTAATTTCTTCAGTTTTCACAGCTTACTGTTTAGCACCTG